ATTTCCTGCAAATTAAATATGAATTTTAGGTGAGAGTAAGTCATATTTTAAGCAGGTCATATGTTCATTACATGTATTCATCATGGATTATGGCCAGTGGGCCATGACCAAGAGGTTCTGTACTTGGGAAAAGATATAAAAGACACAGAGGGCAGGCCATGGAGCTGAGCTGAACAAAAGGAAAAGACTTAAGGAAATAATGATGAGTTTGAATCCATGGGGCTCTCTGGGAGAAGCTGCTGTGAATCTGGTAAAATAAAATCAGTGAGTTGGACCAAAGCCCTAAAACAGCCTTGCTGCCATTGCTGAAAAGTGCCAGCCACCTCACTGAGCTCTTTGTCCTGAAAGGTGTGCTGTAAATACTTGACTTTTCCATTAATTAAAAAAAAATACTATTTTAGTAGTTATGAGTCTATTACTGACCTCAGACAGCGAAAAATTTTTGTTTGTTCAGTTTAACTCTGACTGATTCTTGAAACTTTTTTGGTGACTTTTTAGATGTCTTAAATTCACTTATTTCAGTGCCTATCTCAGAGAAATATGTACAAAAAGAAGTGGTGTCTTTAAAATAAATGTTTCAAAATTAATTTTGGCTGAAAAGATAATTAGATCACATTTGTGAAATAATTTTCTGTAAGTGGATATGCATGTGGATGAGAAATTGAAATATTTGAATGAAAAAGACCACCTGGCTCTCAGATAATCCTTTCCAACAGAGAGTTTGAAACCTTATTCCTCAGGTTCTGGATACTTTGGCGCTCCCCAGTTTCACTGTAATTGATCAGTTAAAATCATGAGTTTGATAAATTATAATCTCTAAAGGAAAAGAGGGCAGGAAATACCCTGGCCATGCAGAAATTGTTTTACTTGTGTCACAATTAGCAATGAGCATGTACAGTACAAGCATGGAGCAAGTGGAAATCGGCTGCTCCCAGGGCTGTGCTGTCTAATGTGAGCTGCAGCAGGAATTTTGACGTGTCGCATTCGCACCCACGCTCCCCCCGTTCCTTCTTCACGGCGTTCACAATAGGCCCTTCCCAAACGTTTTGTCAAATAGCTGCAATGTGCAGCACAGCCCCTGCTAATCCCGGCTCTCCCCGAGCAGGCCGGCGGTGAGAAGCAGAGGGGGCTGGGGGGAGCACACTGTGTACAAACACAGCACAAACATCCCCCCGGCCCGGGGGACGTGCACAAGGTGGGACCCGGTGCTGGGGAGAGGCACCGAGGGAAGGCGGTGGGGAGGGAGGAGAAGTGCCTGTTAAATATGGAAAATGGAGTCTGCTTTTTGTTCTGGGCCTTTGGAATCTGTGGGTGGATTGGAACTGGCAGGCAGGGAGCAAACACCCACCCACCATAGGGCTGTGTGGTTCAGAAGTTTACAAGAGTGTTTGTGTTCCAGGAGCTGTTGGCCTTGAAGCCAATGGAGAGGGGGAGGAGAAGAGGGAGAGAGTGAGAAAAACACTGTGGTGTTAGGGCCCTTCCTCGGAGATATTTTTCCCCTCTCCTTTCTCCAGCTCCAGGGCTTTGGAACTGGAGCAAGACCGACTGGGGGACAGATGAATCTGATTTTTAGATGCAGCACTCGCAGTCGGTCACGGAGAGGCAGAGACTTGAGAAGCCACTGGCACCTTAATGCCACATGACAGCTCCCATGGCTCCCCCTTCTCCTGCCCTGCTCTCTTTGGTTCTGCAGAGGCTGGGGGAGGTAGAGACGTGGAAGTTTTGCTGTGTTGTTACTACAGGAGTTGAAGTTTGGTTTCTGTCCCGTCATGGCTTTTGGTTTGGAAGCTGCCATTCCAATTGCTCACTGTCTGAGTATTGCAGATACAGAAACTGAGGCACAGAGAGACTGAGCAACTTGCCCGAGGCAACAGGAAATCTGTGGGAGATCTGGAATAGACCCCAGATGTCCTGAGTTTTCTGTCTTAACCACAAGACCATCCTTCCTGTCTCTTTGGTAGTCCCCTCTGCTTCAGGAATTCCATTTACAAATTCCACCCAGAAACAATCTGCTGCATGATCCAGTGATTTACTTGCATTAAAAAGTCATTTGGAAGAGAAAATGGCACCTCTCTGAAAATGAACTGCAGCTACTGCTTGCTGTCCTTTCTTTCTAGGGGATAAAGGAGAGGGAGTGAAAAAAACCAACCCAGCTTCCAGAGCTGAGAAGCTTTTCCATCGCTATCCAAACTTCCTGCAGGCATTAGTTTGGTTCTTTAAAAGAATCAGGAACTCCATATGTGATGTTTGAGTTTATCTGGCCATTTATATTTTAGTGGATTATAAAAAGGCCTGAAACTGCACTAAATCCATGGAGGGAGTGATCCTGCTGCTGGTCCCCATTGTATCTGAGTGTCTCTGGTGACAGTCTGGTCAAGTGCCACAGCCCTGGGGGAATTCACTGTGTGTCTGCTGCTTCTCCCTTGTCACAGGCACAGCCAGAGCTTCTCTAGGAGGAGGCTGAATGCTGGGAGGGGTTTTCATTCTACCAAAGCACACCCTTCAGTTTGGAAACGGTGCTGTGGATGGATATCCCTCATATTAACAAAAGGTACCATATGCACCTTCTGAGGAATATAATTTAAAAATTATTCTTAATTAAAACCTGTGATTATCCTGTTACTCAGTGAGGAATATTCCTAGCTCTGCTTTCTCCTAGCATAAGGAATCAACAAGGACTGTATGGCCTAGATTGTAAAGTCCCATCTTTAGACCTTGGTATTGTGGTAATATCTAAAAATCCCACTCATAGATCACCAAATCCTCCTGTGATGGATTGGACAGGCAGAAACTTCAAGGGTCCTTCTTGCTACCAGTGGCTTTCTATTAAAGCAATTTGGTGGAGATCCTCCAAGGGTCTTCTCTGAGACACAGCTGCTGACCTGGCCCAATGTGTTTGGTTCCTGCCTCTTCTGAGGGCATTTAGCACTTTGAGGGTTGATGTCCAAGGTGGGTATGTGAGAGTGGGTTCCTCTCTGGGGAAATGCTGACTTAGGGGCAAGGTCAAAGCTCTTATACAACTCTTACACCTTTTTCCTTTATTCTGAATGGGATTTCAGAATACAAAATTACAAATAAAACACAAGAGCTTGGTGTGTGTCCTGCCCCATTACAATGAGTCTGAGTAAATCACAGCGGGTTTGTTTTCCAATTGCTCTTTTAAGCACTGTGGATATTTGTCTGTTTGCTCCTCCTCTTTTGTCCCAATGTGTTTTTTCTGCTGTTCCACTGCCAAGAACTCTTCCAGAGGAGACTGTCCAAAATTCAGTGTCTGTGTCCCTCAGTCACACTCTATGGATGAGCAGGGCTTAAAGTCCTTGTTGACTTACAAACACTATTAACAATTGTGCTGGTGTGAAAGTGCTCCCCAGCCCTTTTTGGCACACAGTTGACAGAGCTCTGACATAACAGTGGAAACCTTTTTAGCTTGTTCCTTAATGGTGATGCTAAGTGGTGATTGAAATGTTTGTTAGAATTCTGGGTGTGCAGTCCATGGAAAATGGGAGAAGACACAGGTTTTTTGCTTTGAAATTTGATATTAATAGAAAGTGTGAGCATCTCGCTCCTGACCTGAATAATAAATCCATAATGGAGTTGGCAGTGCTGCTGGGCAGTGGGTGCCCATGCCCTGGTCAGTGGGTGTCCATGCCATGGTCAGTGATGTCCATGCCATGGTCAGTGACTGTCGATACCCTGGTCAGTGGTCAGTGATTCCCGTGCCCTGCTCAGTGGTGTCCGTACCTTGGTCAGTGATCAGTGATGTCTGTGCCATGGTCAGTGACTTTCCGTGCCCTGGTCAGTGGTCAGTGGTGTCCATGCCCTGGTCAGCGGTGTCCGTGCCCTGGTCAGTGGTCAGTGGTGTCCATGCCCTGGTCAGCGGTGTCCGTGCCCTGGTCAGTGGTCAGTGGTGTCCGTGCCCTGGTCAGTGGTGTCCATGCCCTGGTCAGCGGTGTCCGTGCCCCGGCCGCGGTTGTGCGGGGCGGTCGCGGTGATCGCTCATCGGTCGGTAGAGGGCGCCCGTCCCCGCCGTGCGGGGGGCGCTCGGTGCCCCGGACACTCCGGACAGCCCCGGACACACCGGACAGCCCCGGACACACCGAACAGCCCCGGACACTCCGGACAGCCCCGGCCCCGCGGGTGGGAGCCCAGGAGCCGACCCGCCTGTGTGCCAGCAGCGTGGCCTTAGTGCTGCCTCTGCCTTCCTGCTCCAGCGAGGGCTCGGACAGCCCCAGCCCCTGCCCCTGCCCACCCGCGCTGCGGTTGCGCCTCTCGCTCCTTCCACGCGTTGAGCGTCGCCTGTGGGTGGAAGGAGCGTGTGACGTGTGCGGGAGCGGGGAACACATGTGTGTAGGGACAGGGGAGCACACGTGTGTCGGGACACGGAAGCACACGTGTAGCGCTCGGTGGGTTGGGGGCTCCGGTGTCCCGTCGCGCCCCGAGGATGCGCTCCCGTCCCGCGCGGTTGTCGCCCCTCAGTCGCGCTCTCAGCCTGTGATTGCCGTCGGCGCGGGGCGTGTGCCCGCAGTTGACGCCGGGCAGGGCGCCGTGAGTGCTCGCACACGCTCCGTGCCCGTGCGAGCGCGACCAGCGCCGCTCCCCGCGCCTGTTCCATTTCAGCGCTGCCAGAAATCCAGCGGCGAGAGGGAAAAAGCCCTCGCCCTACCGCCCCTCCTTGGCGGCGCGGCGGTCCGTGAACCCAGCAGTTTATCCTCCCCCCGCTCCCTCCCTCCCTCCCTCGCCGGCGCTGCCGCCGGGGCCGCGCCGCGCGCCCGCCCGTGCAGCGGCTCGGCTCGGTTCGGCTGAGCTCGGCACGGTTCGGCTTGGCTCGGTTCGGCACCACTCAGCACAGCTCGGCTCGGTTCGGTTCGGCTCGACTGGACTCGGCACATCCCAGCTCGGTTCGGCTAGGCGCGGCTGGGCTTGGATCAGCTCGATTGTGCTCGGCGCGGCCGGGCTCGGTTGGACCGGCTCGGCTCAACTCGGCTCGGCTGATCCCGACACATCCCGGCCGGTCTGGGCGCAGCGCGAAGGGGGAGGCGGGCGCTGTTCCTGGAAGAGCCCGGCCCGGGGAGTTGGTCACATTCTTGGCCGGGATTCAATGACTGAGGCAGACACCAACAAACAGAGGGGGGGAGGCGGAGGGCGGGAGGCTGAGCCCGCCTGCATTAGCTCAGCTCTCAGGCACTCTCAGTCACTGCTGGAAAGAGGAGCTGGGAGGATGTGCGCGCTCTCACCGCGGCTCCCCACGGCACAACGACAGCACCGGCAGAAATAAGGGAAGGAAGGCGAACCGCGAGGCGAGGAGCCCTCCCAGGCCGAGCAGAGGGAGCTCGAGGGGCAGCGGAGCCGCTCTTTGCCCGTGCGGAGCCCCCGCGCCGCTTTGGCACTGCCGGAGATCTGGGCCTTTTCTCCTGCGTTGTTCCTTCCACAGAGCGAGCGTGCTGCCTCCTCCTGCTTTTTACTTTCCTCCCCCGCGCCTTCCCTCGGTGGATATGGACAGAAGGGGGATCACTGCAGAGAAGCAGCAGCCGCCAGAACATATTTGAGCCCCGGGTGCTCGGAGCGTGGCACAGACTTTTTGTGTTTCTGTGGGTGGTGTGTGTGTGTGTATGTGTGTGTGTGAGTGAGTGTGTGTGTGTGTTGGAGGTGTGGGAGGAGGGATTGGTTTGCCTGGGGGTTGGCTGAGGGGGTGAGTGCTCGGATGAAGACCTCTTTTTGCCGTGATTCTCTGCTCCATCGGGGCAGCTTGGAGACTTGGAGGGTTTGAAATTGTAACGCGAAGCAAGAGGAAAGAAAGAAGAGAGAGACACGCATACAAAAGGATTTATTTCCTCTCCGTTAGTGGATTGCTGAGTGAGAAGGAGGAAAAACACAAGGGTGGGTTGTTTTATTTTGTTAATATTTTTTCCTTAAAAAAATCCCTTAAGTGGATTTGCACCAGGGTGGAAGATAATTGGGGATTTTTGCTGTTTGTTTTGGGAATAGAAACTAAAAAATGGAGACTGTAAGTAGAAGCAGCTTCCAGCCTCATCCAGGACTGCAGAAGACCTTGGAACAGTTTCATCTGAGCTCTATGAGCTCCCTGGGTGGCCCTGCTGCTTTCTCAGCACGATGGGCACAGGAGATGTACAAGAAAGACAATGGCAAAGACCCAGCGGAACCTGTACTGCATCTGCCCCCGATCCAGCCTCCTCCGGTCATGCCTGGTCCCTTCTTCATGCCCTCGGACAGATCCACGGAGAGGTGCGAGACCATCCTGGAAGGGGAAACCATCTCCTGCTTCGTGGTGGGCGGAGAGAAGCGGCTTTGCTTGCCCCAGATCCTGAACTCGGTGCTCAGGGACTTCTCCCTGCAGCAGATTAATTCGGTGTGTGATGAGCTACATATTTACTGCTCCAGATGCACTGCTGACCAGCTGGAAATCCTCAAAGTCATGGGCATCCTGCCCTTCTCCGCTCCTTCCTGCGGGCTCATCACGAAAACTGATGCTGAGAGGCTTTGTAACGCCTTGCTTTATGGTGGCACCTATCCTCCCCACTGCAAGAAGGAATTCTCTAGCACGATTGAGCTGGAGCTCACGGAGAAGAGCTTCAAGGTGTATCATGAGTGCTTTGGGAAGTGTAAGGGACTCCTGGTGCCAGAGCTTTACAGTAACCCCAGCGCAGCCTGCATCCAGTGCTTGGACTGCAGGCTCATGTACCCACCTCACAAATTTGTGGTGCACTCTCACAAATCGCTGGAAAACAGGACTTGCCACTGGGGCTTTGACTCTGCAAACTGGAGATCCTATATCCTCCTCAGCCAGGATTATACTGGGAAAGAGGAGAAAGCTAGACTGGGCCAGCTCTTAGATGAAATGAAAGAAAAATTTGACTATAACAACAAATACAAGAGGAAAGCCCCCCGGGTAAGTGGTGCCTGTAATTTTAAAGGGGGCGGGGGGAATTTCGGTAACATTCATCGATATACCCAAATTGTTACCAGCTGCTTTTCCTTGGAGTCATTTTGCAATTTTAATCGTGTTCTCCATTCTCCCCGCGTGTGTGTCACTGTGGAGGAGCAGTGCTCGAGATGGCACCTCTGTTTCTCTTGTGTTCTGACCGCGGTGGTTGGAGTTTGTTTAAATTACGTACGTGTATTTGTATATTTTACTATGTGTGGACCTTGATCTTTGAAGCCCATCACGCTGCCCCAGACTTTATCTGGCAGTGCGTGATTTCGGGTCTGTAAGGGCTTCTTCACTCTGGGGTCGAGGCAAGGAAGAAGGCAGAAAAAGGGAGCAGGTACTGGTGATTCCAGACACAAGTCCGTGCACTTTTCTGGTCGATGGAGTGTGGCCAGGGATGGACGTGCGGGCTGAGTGCTCTCCATGCTTGTATGGAAATAAAATGTGCCTGTTAAGAAAAAAAAATAAATTGTGCCGGTAGTGCAGGTTACTGGTTTATAGATGAAGTGTTCAGAACGTGAATGGAGAAGTTCCTGCTTTTAAAGTATCCCTGCGGATCCTAAATTTCCCCAGCAGACAGGCTTTTGTATATTGGATTATGTATACATCCAGCAAATGACTCTGTCTAGGGCCAGCTGCAGCAGCTCCTTGAGGTGTTCCGTGCCGTGCCGTGCCGTGCTGAGCCAGACAGCTCAAGCACATTGTTTTTTTTAGGTGCCACTTGTTTTTCTTTCAGTCTGAGCTGCCTTTAGATCCCAGAATCCCCGGTGTGTGGGTGGGAGCTGCCTTGGCATCTGGCAGCGGTCCTGCTCCATGGGCAGCGGTGCCGCAAGGCCGTGGGGACTCACAGACAGCGGCGTGTCTGTCTGGCTCCTGCCCCGGTGCCACTGGCTGGGGATGAGCAATTGTGCTTCCTGCTCCTTCCCCCGGTGCGAGGGCAAAACAAACTCCTGATCTCGAGTTCTCCCCTGCAGGTTTGTTATTCGGGCTCTGCCTCGCTGTCAGAGATTGCCAAACTTTGGGGGTTTGTGTCTGGAGTGGAAGGGCAATGCACAAGCCTGGAAAAGAGAAGATGTTTAAAGCCCACTGTGAAAATTTTGATTTAACTTACCAAATACCTGTTTAAAGGGGCAGACACATACTCTGACTTGAGGTAGAGTTGCACTCTATCTTTTTTTATTTATAAAAAACGTGCTACAAAAATATCCAAGCAAACCCCAGATTTTAAAAAAAATATGCTGTGCAAACAGAACAGTAATTCCACAACCAGTGCAGGAGGCCTAGTGAGCCCATCTGACCGGGCTGCACACTTCTGGATTAAGGAGCAGAGTCTCACTCTTCCAGTTTCTCTCCTGGCCCCTGGCTCAGTCCTTGTCCTCACCCCTCCTCTTCCTCCCCGGCGTGTCAGGACGCTGTGACAAAGCTGGGCTGTAATGAGGCACATTATCCCCGTGGTTGGAGGTGGATGTGTTTTTAATGGCTTGTCTATTCTCCGTCAGTCATGTGCCGAGATGGAATGGTGGGGTAGATCTACATGGATGTGAGAGGAGAATATGGCTCTCAAACTGGAGACATTCTCATGCTAGGAAAGGAATTGAATTTTCTAGGGCATGCTTCGTTTGGGAAGTAAAATGAAGAAATCTCCACGTTGTTGTTGTAGAAAGGTCCTGTTCCCTTGGCTTGGTCATTTCCAGAGTTTAAAATGAATGTTGGTAGAGAAGTGCTTTCCTTTTCTTGCAAGGCTTTTTCAGTGTTCTCTTCAGCTGCATCCTTTATCCAACACCCCAGGCGAGGCTGCAGAAGGAGAACAAGCAAAGGTTACTGAACCTTGGCTGTGCCTCAGTTTTTTTGGGGACCCTTTCATAGGTCCTAGTTCAGAACATGAGAAACACTCTTCCCTCACCCCCCAAAATCTGCCTGGAATGCAAAGTGAATTGAAGATACCTAATAGTGAATGCCAAAAATTGTGTGAGGAAATGGTGGCCATCTATTTTCTGGAAAATTTTACCAGAAATCCATCATGAAACGCTAAAGTCTCCTGTATAAATTCATTTGGAAGGTGGCAAGGAGTGAGGTGGGGAAGAATGGTGTGTGCTCAGACTACGGGGTAGGGAAAACAGAATGTTTTACCTCATATTAAGTTCCAAGGCCTTCAGGACTCTTGGGTTAAAGCAGTGCAGTCCTGAGGAGACCCTGACGGTGCTGGCAGAGTTCTGTACTCTTATCCTTCCTTTTCCTGAAGTCTTTTTCCATTGGGCTCAGCCAACGGATATCATATGCTAAGGTCATTTGTGTTGTAGCAGTGTGTGTGGATAATTACGGAGAGATTTAATCAGGCTCCAAGATTGGTAGGCTGTGGCCAGGGGCAAGTAACATTGGAGCAAAGTTTAGATGCCTGGTGAGGAGGTGACAGGATGGTCCCATTCCGTGTGTGTCAGATCCTGTGTGGGTTTTGTGTGTCTGGGGACGAAAGGGTGAAGCACATGTGTCTTTGTGGTGGGCTTCCTTTTTGATGTAGATCTCAGCTTTGCTTTGTTCTGTTTCATACAGAGGTGTTCGTGTGCCTTAAGCTGCTGTGTCAGATATTGGGTTTTCTGCTTTCAGGAGTGACCTTTTTTTTCAGTTTCTCAATTTATTTATTTCTGTGTGTGTGTACACACATTGCTTTGTGTGGTGTGTTTTCCCTGGGGCTCTGGTAGTATGTTGGTAGCATGGGATGCATATGACCAATTTTATGGCTGTTTAGGCAGCAGTGAGTGTTTTGACCTTTTCATGTGTCTCCATGAGGTTTCTGTGATGAGGTCTGGAGATTTCTGCCAGCACAGCTCTGCCTTTTAAGGGTCTGACTTAAATGGAGGAGCTGGGTTGGCACAAGCCCCTGGTGCAGATTCAGCGTAGTGGCAGAACTGCCTTTTTTTCCTCTCTTTTTTTTTTCCCCTTTTCAGTTTTTTTCCTTGGCGTGGTTTTAAAGCTTTGCTAAAGGCATAGCTGTTCCTAGATATTTCATTCCCAGTGCATATTTCTCTCTACATCTGTAGTGATATCCATCCTTGTGTAGGAGATGGATGTGTGGATGCTGAGCTCTCCTCTCTCTGTCAGCCCTGTTGGTTGAACAAGACTCCTGTTGCCTGGTCTTGCCACTTGCAGAGGAACCCTTTGTCCAGACCTGTGTGGAGTCAGCAAAGGGTCCTAACCAAAAGCTGGAGGGAGTTGTGACAGCTGGGGCTCCCCACTAGAGCAGAGACCAAAAAGGCCTCAGTCACATTCCTTACACTGTTCTAAAATTTTGGTTTTTATATCCTCTTGTTCATGCTTGGATGAGTAACTGACCTCCCATAGGGTCTGTCACCTTGATGCCACTTCCCAAAGCTCTTTCTTCTCTTGAGCTGTGTAACTTCTCCATTTTACTGACTTTGTGTCCTTCTCTGGGTGTTCCACCTCCCCATGCAGGGTTTGTTGTGCTTTGCTTTCTCTCTGCACCAGCACAGCTTTTACTTGGGTGAGTGTCCTGTTTCCTTACCTGTCTCATCTCATCTGCCATTACTGCTGTGGAGCACAACCAAGAGAAATTCTGGGGTATTTCTAGAAATTCAAAATGTGGATAACCTGATGGGGTTGCAAAACAGGGTCCTAGAAATCCAGCATGAGTGCCAAAGCCTTTTCTTGGGCTCAGCCCCTGGTGCGTGCTCTCCTGTGGGACCGAGGTGGCCTCGGTGTGTCTGTGGCACTGCTCTCCAGTCACTGTGTGTGACAGCCAGCTCCCTGCTTGCCTCACATCAGGATGCTGCACTCGCACAGAATGAGTTCAGACGCAGCCCTGAAGGCTTTGTTGGTTGCTATTTCCAGAAGAGCAGGGTGGGTTCAGCTCTGTCTATTTCGAACCCTTTTTCTCCAATACTGAACCGAGCAACGTTTGAGGGCACTTTGAGATTCCCCCCCCGTGTGCCAGACGTGCACCCTGAGCAGGACTGGCTGTGAGCAGGGCCCAGGAGAGGCAGAGCTGTCCTTGCACGCGTGTGAGCACACCCACACACCCAGCGCTGCCGTGTTCCCACGGTTCAAGTCCCAGCAGCACTTCTATGAAGTAGCTGGAAGCCAGGAGCAGCATTCTGGGTACTGACACACAAATGAGCACATGAGGCCTCCCACTTTATTTCACAATGCCTCCCAACCCAGCGCTGCCACAACATGCAGCTCGCTCAGCTGGAGGAAGGTTTAGCCAGGTCAAGTGTGCAGCAGAATCAAAGAACCCAAATTGCTGCGAGCGGAGCGGCCGCGGGTGGAGGGAGGACGTGGGCTTTTAGGTGCTGCCCTGGGCTTGCTGTGCTGTGCTCTATGGCCACCTGAAAGGCTGCAGGAGTGGAGCTGGAATTTGTGTCTTATCCCAAAGTCCTGCCTTCTGGCAGTAGGAACCTTTATTTGTTAATGGGTATGTCCTGTGGTGGGTGCAGCAGAGCGATTCTGAGTTGTGGTGTTCAGACTGCAGGATGGATTTATTCCTCTTGGTAGAAACTGATGGGAAAAATACTGTTGCAAAATTTTGTCCTGACAACTGGGAGTTCAGTTGTTTTCCCATGGAATGTTGAAGTCTTGTGTTCTATCTGATGTTCAAGAATTGCTTTAGAGATTCTTCAGTACAAATTTAGAAGTCTTTAAAACAAAAACATTGCTGTCTTGGGGCGGTAGTTTAGTTCAGAAATCTTTGCAGCTTAAAAGTTGAACTTCAAAAGTGACACCAGCTTGAATGAAATCCCGTGTACCCAGGGAGAGGACAGTGTTTCGCAAACATCAGCAGTTTTTTCCCAGGCGTGCAAACAGTTTTACAGATGTTGTAGATGGAGAACAAAGCAGCAGGTACGTGCATGTGTGTTGGACAAAGAGTTTGCTGCCAGTGATCTCATGGTGTTGAGTCAACCACGGCTCTCTCTTGCTCCAGAAGAGTTCCTAAGTTCCTCAAGTCA